GCTAAGTTTGCTTATGGTTCCGCTCCATGTTTTGGCTATCCTCACTAGTGAGCATGCTCAGTTTAGTGAAAACCAGGCTTCAACATAATATGGAATAACAGATGTTATTAATAGAAACCCTAACAATATCAATTTAACATTCCAAACTCAAATATATGCAACAGTCTGCTGCTCTATACATTAGCTGAATTGTAAGATGTAAATAGAAACAAGCTGTTTATTCATTGTTTGGTTCAATGTTGCTATTACTTGGACATGGTGGGTTATGAGGATACAAACCATTGTGGGTTTGAAACACTGGGGGTGGATGTGACATTTCACCAAGTTGGTAAAGAGATTTTGATTAAATGGCCCCCGAGGCTGAGAATTGGACATTGCCTGAGCCATAATAGCTTGCGACATCATTTCCATAGATCGAGAAATACCATTTTTGGTGCAGAGTTGCGACTTAATTAATTTTAAGTAGAAAAGACAAAAATTATAAAGCTCTACTAATATTGGTGTTGAGCACTCTTCAAACTACTCAGTGCGTTCATACTTTTGTTTGAATCAACGATTATTATATATATATATATATATATATATATATATATATATATATATATATATATATATATATATATATATATATATATATATATATATATATATATTATTATTATTATTATTATTATTATTATTATTATTATGAACTATATTTCAACACGGTACAATTTCACCTATACTAAAATTAATATACAAGATATAAAAAGAAAAAAGGTGATCTTCCAACCAGCCGTGCTCACACAAACAGAAATAAGAAATAATTACAAGAAAATTATTTTAAGTAGATGGAAACAATGGCAGGATCACTTGATGTTAATTTGCATGCTTCAAGTTAGATTTAAAATTAGCAAAAGTTGTTGATGCTTTCAGCGATGCAGGAAGGCAGTTCCAGACTTCCGCACCTCTGTAGGAGAATGCATTTTTCATACTATTTGTTTTTGGCTTAGGCAATGTCAAATCGGCTCCCGACTGTCTTGTGTTATGGTCGTGTACATCACCAACATTTGTGAACATATCACACAAGTAATCGGGGACCAATTTGTTTTTCACCTTGTACATGAGAATTGAAAGTTGTTGCATTCTTCTTTTTTCGAGGTTCGGAACTTTTAGCTTGTTTAATATATCAGCCGATCGTGTCGTATAATTCTCACGAGTGATTATTCGAAACGCTCTGTTTTGTAATTTTTGGACTTTAGCTGCTAATGTTTTCCCTAAGCAACCCCACACTTGAGCACAATAATCGAAATAAGGTTGAATTATGGATTTGTATATTGTTATTAAGGTATTGAATTCGACTGTATCCCGGAGTCGTCTGAGAATAGCAAGGCCTGAAGTGACCTTTTTTGAAATGTGTTCTACCTGCGTGGTCCAGTCTAAAGACTCGTCTTTCATTAGGCCCAATGATTTTGTCATTTCAACTCTCTTAATTTCTAAGTTACCTATACTGATAGCAGGATCGGCAGTCACTTGACTCAGCCTTTTCTTGGAACCAATTATCATATATTCGTTTTTTCTATTGTTCAGAGTTAATTTGTTTGCGGACAGTCAATTTGCAACATTGTTTAAATCTCTATTTAATGTTTCAGTGATAACTTTGATATCGTCACTTGATGTTGCAATTTGGGTATCATCCGCAAACATATCTGGTTTTGTTCCGGCGTTTAAACATTTTGGTAAATAATTGATGTAAATTAGAAATAACAATGGGCCTAAACCAGAACCCTGAGGTATGCCTGTTTTCATAATTGATGGACTTGATAGTTTGCCATTCACACAACAGCACTGGGTCCTATTTGATAGATACGACTCCAGCCAGCGATGTGCCGTTCCCTTTATTCCATAAGTTGCTATTTTGTCTAAGAGTATATTGTGGTTGACAGTATCGAATGCTTTTTTCAGATCCAGAAATACAATCCCATTTAGTTTCCCAATGTCAATATTTGTATACCACTCGTTGGTTATGTCCAGTAATGCTGTAACAGTTGAGTGAAGTGGTCTAAATCCGTGTTGGGAGTTTGAAAGTAGATTATAGTTAGGTAAATAATTATAGATTTGGTTATAAATCAGCTTTTCTGCAATTTTGGTAACTACTGATATAACGGATATTGGTCTGTAGTTTGTCATTTCATCTTTAGCTTCAGACTTAAAGATCGGAGTAATTCTAGCGATTTTCCAATCATTGGGATATATGCCTGTTAAGATTGACTGGTTGAATATTGATGATAGGGATGGTGAAATAACTGCTGCCGAAATTTTTAAGATACGAGAGGAGATACATCGATTCCCGATGCTCTATTGGGCCCTAAACCATGAAGTAGAGTGAAAACATCATTTTCTGAAATTTCTTGAAAGCTAGGGAGCCCATTGGCTGGATGGTGTATATCACTGAGAAAACTATCCGGTAAAATATTCGATTGAGGAATTTTATTCGCAAGTTTTTCCCCTAGTTCAACAAAGTATTTATTAAAGGCATTGGGGATCAGCGTTTCGTCAATTACTTCACCATTCTCATCTTTCATTTCTGGGATTTTCTTATTAGTTTACTTTCCATTCATCAATTCGTTGAGTGTTTTCCATGTTTGTTTTAAATTTCCTGAATTGCTATGTAGTTTGCCTCAATAATAGGAACACTTTGTATCTTTTATTTGCCTATTGTATTGGTTTTTTTCCTTTCTGTAGACAGACCAGGCATCAGTTGTGTTGGTTGTTCTAGCTTTCCTATGTAGGAAATTAATATGTCGTTTATTGTGAATTAGGTCTGTTGTTAGCCAAGGTAGCTGCTTAGTGCCGACTTTCAGTCTTTTTACTGGGGCATGGTTGTTTCAGATTCTGAAGAATTTATTCTTCCAAATCTGCCAAGATATATTTGGATCGTATTAATCCAGGTCAAAATCGGATAAGTAATTTTGTAGGTCGCGCAAGAATATTTGTTCGTTGAAATGTTTGTAGTCGCGGTATTCGATTATTTTTGCATTTTCTTTGCAGACCTTAAATTTTCTGATGCCATAAATAAGATAGTGATCACTAATGGAAACAGTTGACACTCCCTTTGAAATAATATTATCAGGATTTGTTGTATAAAAGTGATCAATTAATGTCCGAGTATCTTTAGTAACTCTTGTAGGTTCACTTATCAATTGTTCATATTGATACAGTCCTGTAATAAATTTGAGTTCCGAAGCTTGGGGAGATAAGAAGTCATAATTTACATCTCCTAGGATATTATTTTCTTTATTGTCATTGTCTATTAGTTGTAAACAGTTCTCAAATCTATAAAGGGTATATATATATATATATATATATATATATATATATATATATATATATATATATATATATATATATATATATATATATATATATATATATATAGATATATAGATAGATATATATATATATAGATAAAGATAAAATAAACCTGGTTTACTTCATAAGATTTATTCACTTATTAAGATTTATTCACTTAAGATTTATTCACTTATTATTTATTGATTTATTCATTTATTTATTGATTTATTTTTAAAATTTATTGTGAATAAATCTTATGAAATAAACCAGGTTTATTTTATCTTTATCTATATTAGCTCTATACTTCGGTATATCGAGCACTCTACTCATATATGATTCTAAATACATATTTGGTATGTATATATATATATATATATATATATATATATATATATATATATATATATATATATATATTTATATAGCA